GCCCCCGTTTCTCTGCCACCTATCATAAGAGCTCGATCACCAGAACCAGAAATAAAACCGCTGATACTACCAGGTACTGATAAAAATAAAAGGAACGTAAATAGTAAAAAAACACAAGATAAGAAAACTGAAGTGATACGTACAGGCCAAACTATACTACCAACTGATTTGAAAACTCCAAAAAATGGTAAAAATGAAAACGCTTCTGGAGATTCTTCTACCTTTCATAGTTTAGAATCCAACTTAACTATTGACAATTCTAACGCGTCAACAACAAGCGACAGTCAATACGAACCATATCAAATTGATTCAAGCAGAAATCCATCGCCCAGGAAAGACATATGGGATTCTGCATACGTAAGTATCGATGACAATAACTGTTCTCCAGATAGCAATAATAACGAAAATACTATGCCATGCGAGTCAATTAGTAAACCAAAGTTTTCTTCAAGTGACGACAAATTTGGGTTAAATCAGGAAGAACTATCAAACATGGGACCCGCTGAAAGAGAGATTTGGCAAACATGCAACGAATTGAAAATCGAACCCACAAAAGTTCAGGAAGAACAGAAACCTTATAAGTGGGAAATCAAACGACCGACGTTCACACCCATCATTGAAGAGAGCGATAGGAGTATATCTTCAGGCACAAAAGATATTCCAATAACCGAAAGGTGCACGAAACCGGAAGATGGTGACAATGTAACGGTGGCATTTGCTGAACTAAATGAAATGTACCAAGAATACTTTCCTAATTCAGAAACTAGTTCTACTGCCACTGTGGATGAAAATGATAAAATTCACAGTACGGAAGTAGAATACGTTACACAAACAAAGGACGCTAGTGTCGATTCTGCATCTGATGTAACAGATGTGAAAAGACACACAGAGGAATTAGAAGGAACGATTTCTGAGGTTCAGGCAAATGTCACTGAATCTGTTTCAGTAAGTCAACCCCTTCGCATTAATCACGATAAAGCCTATAATAAATACACGAAGGAAAATAAGGATGAAAAGCAATTTGGCGAAGCAACGTTTAGTAACATAGTACTTGAAAAGAAAAAGTATTGGGATGAGAAAATTCGCCAAATAGAGGCTAAATCTGCAGAGACTTCAATACAGCCAAAGAAGAAACGTATCTCCGCTAAACAATTGAAACATGATTCGTTAAGCAAGCGAAAGGGCAAACAGATTCTTAAGAACTTCCTAAACTCAGGCGATTACAGTCAAGTTAAAAATATTAATGAGATTGAAGATAAACATGCAAAAATAAAACCACAAGAACCTAACTACGAACAAATATCAGCTGACGTAGAAACTACAAATGAAAAGTTAGTAGAAAGATGGAAGAAATATTGGGATGAAAAGTTAGAAACAGATCAAGTACAAGCTGAAGCTACTGCTTTAAAAACGAAATCTCCTAGCAATAAAGTAAGAACATTAAGCTCATCTTCCAACTCTAACAAATTCGAAAACGCAGTTGAAATAAAAGTGGAAACGACAAAATACAATAGCAACGTATTGCCATTCGAAGACCACCCGCCCGTGAAACAAGAATTGCCAGAAGAAGTATTCAAAGCCTTTGAAACTAGTCCAAAGAGATTTTTCGGTACTTCAAGGAAGCAAATACTAAACAAAATTGACACATTTTTAGGCAAACCGGGAATTGATGACATTCCCACCACTGACGTCACCGGTGGAGAATGTCATGAGAGTGGTCTCGTGTCTAGTCGGATATCTTTGTTTCATAATTTGTCTAACACAGAACCATTACCATGGGCTAGAAGAAAAAGTCAATCTTTACAAAATGTAAGCCAACGAATAAGTAGTAACCAAAGCATTGTATCTTCTGAAGAAAACCTACACGTGGAACTAATAAAACGACCCAATACTGAGACTTTAGAAGACAGAATCAATGAAGCCACTAATTACAGTGTCAAAGAATCTGTAAATTTGAAAAATAAACGAGCTCGAATGGTTCATAGTTCATTCAATAAAACGTTGGATGAAACAATTTATATAGAACCCGTACAAGAACAGTTTGTTACTTCAACACCAAAACGAAACGAAAACGTAAGGACGGCAATACAAGGCCTACATAAGGAATATGAACCAATTAGAACAACAAATGAAGTTCTCCGAAAGAAATCATTCAGTAAATCAGAAATGGACATCTTTAATAAAATTCCAAACGATACCACAGATGACGGTTTGGATAAATATAAATCATGCGATGAATTACCTAAGATTAACGTGAAGAACTTCATATCGCTTTACGAAAGCGTGACAAAGACTGCTACAGCACCAAAACCAGCTAAACGGGTGTACAGAACGAGTTCTGCTGATTCACAGAAAAATTCCCCATCTCACAGCATAAAGTCAGGTTAGTATTGGTGTAAATATACGTAGTCACAATTAAAATGAAGGAACATTGATAAAAAATGATGATAATCCTCGTTATTTTACAGATGCTGTGCACAGACACAACGCCGACCAAGGGAGCGTTTCTACCAGTGGATCAAAACGAACTACGCCTGGAGCTACACCTACAAATATGTGGACAAGCAGAGATTCAGAAACAGTCAGCAATCTTAGTTTGGACACGAGAACTTCTGGATCCTTTGATGTTGAAGTAATTCCCAATGAAAATAAAGAATCTGATATAGAACTAGAAATCATAGAATGTAATACAGATAAATCAATCGAATCTTCTCCAGAAAGAGAAACCGAGCCAGCACATCTACAATACAAAAACAGATTCAAAATGGCAAAAGAATTCTTTCAATCCATTGAAGAGCTAAGAGAAGTAAAGAAGCCTAGAAAACTGAATGAATGTGAACAACTTTTGCGTAAGCAATCAACAGAATCCGTTGAGAATGACCGCCCCCAGAAGAGGGTGAAGAAAAACATAAAATCTCACTCCATGCCATCATCAGAGATATCAAAGATCTGGAATGAACTGCAAGAAAACCGGGAGAGCTCTTCAAACACGAAGCTAGTGAAAATATCGGAGAAATTTAACGTAGATGATTTGTTTACAGATGTCACTGAAGGGAAACTAAGTAGGCAAGGAAGTTTGAGAGGCATACCTCATAAGAAAGCAGTTCTAGAAGCATTTCGGTCTATGGAAAACGTAGCTGATACATCGATAAACTCGTACGAGATTGCCGAATCACAGATTACAGACTTTGCTAAAGAACACACAGTAAGAAACGCACAGACTTACCTGAGCGAATATCCGTATTTGCCGACAACCGATCCATCGAAATATCATTCAAGATTGGATGTAAAAGCATCTGGTCTCATCTCATTGAAAGAGTTGAAGGAGCGAAAGCCTCGAAGGAATAGTGTGCCTGATCTTAGATTAAATCCTAAATTTACGGTTGACCTTTAGTTAAGTGCTTTAATCATTTGAACATAAGGTTCAAGTTGCGTTACTGTGGAACGTGATCTTTGTTGTATCAAAGTAGCGCATGAAGGATTAAACTTTATTTGAACTGAGGTAGCATTCAATCTACATAATCTTTCATATTTCCTCTTACAGAAAATTTTGTATTTGACACATCTGATTTAAAGTTCATTTTAGAAAAAACATAATTTGTTTTTAAAATTCGTACTGTTGCAACGTAAATTGAGCCTTGTAGACAATATTTTGTATTAATACTTATCATTTTTCCACTTTCATAGTCATCTAACGAACATAGTCATAAAGTTAGTAATACCAGTATTTTACTAGTACCTTAAGTTTAGGTAATACTCACTTTAAAAATATAAGAATATTTTTTTAAGTCATAGTTTTTAGTAAAGGCTAGCCTTGAAGTTCTTTGCCTATGTTTACGTCGATTAAATCAATTTTCATTTTATGTTTTTGTCAAAAGAGCGTAAGATATGATAGAATTGCTAAACGAATTTGAGTTCTGTGTCGTATATTTAGGATTGTATGTTCTAGAAACTTCGTTCTCGTTTTATTGTTTATTCGCTAGCTTTATCGATTTGTACAATTTTGTACAGTTATTGAATCTAATTATTAAGTTTTAAGATTTTACTGTAACTATTTATTCTACATTAAATAAAACTTACAATTCTTTTCGTCTTCTCATTTACGAATTTCTTTTTAGTCGATAACCTACCTACCTAATTGACATATTTTTCTTATTGTAAGATCCTTCTAACATTAAAACGCTAATTAAACGAGTGAATAGAAAACTCTATGAATGGAAGTGACACCGACATTCGACAAACTAACTACCTATGTCCAAGCACCTGAGTGCCAAGCACGAATAACTATCGTTCGTTCTCTGGAGCCGGCCAATCAGAGCGTCGAACACGCTCGATTCTCTTACATTACAAATGCTATAGTAATTCGTGCTTGGCACTCAGTTACAGATTTTAATGCGTTTTGGGAAGTATACTCATACGTCGACGCAATCTAAGGGGTTGGGAATCTAGGAGGAGAGGAACTTTTTATGAACGTCCTGGAACGTTTTCTTGTTCGAATGTTCTAATCCAGTGATAACGAACTCTAACACCCGAATTCTGGAAAGGCTACAACTATTTGAAGTTGTACTTAAATATCATGCCACACTTAATATCTGTCATTACTCTGACTTAGGAATCGGTCATAAACAGCAATCGATCTTATTTACCTCTCCCAACATGGTAGCTGTCTGAATTGACCTCTTAGATTGTGTTTAGCGTCTACTTTTAAAGTAGAAAATTAATTTAACGGTAAAATGCGGTGGATAGGTTTTGAGCAGCGAAAAGGGACAGAAGAGGAGTTGTATAAATATAAGGAAATTCTTCATAGTGTCGATTCACCCCTCTTCTGTCCCTGTTCACCCCATTTTACGATAACGTATATGGGATTGATGACTTGGCAGTGTCATCCCCATACATTTACTACTCTCTCGGTAGACAAGCCCTGAAGTGGCGTTTGGCTAAAGACCCAGGTTATTGGAACAATAATCAAATTTTGTCAATAAAAAATTATCTTAGGTTTAAAGCTTTTTATTGATAAAATTACAAGCAATATTTACAATACGTATTTATCTATTTCAATTTACTTTAAAATCAATTAACTTAAAATTAAAATTAAACGTTAAACTACAGCATTGTTCGATACAGGCATTGTAAGGGATTGTCTATTACAAATTATTATTTTACCTTGGTTCTGACTATTAAGAATACAATACAAACATTAAAAAGCGTCCGTAGTAGCCTCGCGTATATTTTGGACACAGAAAGTGTGAAACTTTTATATGAAATTTTTGCTATTTAATTTTCGACTACAATGATCAATTATTTAAAGTTGGATATCCATTGAACATATTATCTTATGCCATGTTTTTATGGTATGGTACGGCAAGCGAGACGACGGACCAACTGATGGTAAGCAATCGATTCCGTCCATGAATACCCGCAACACCAAAGGCGTTACAAGTGCGTTGTTGGCTTGAGGATTTGGGGATTGGGGGATTAGGGGATGAGGGGATTGGAGGAGTGGGGGATTCGGGAGTCTAGGGATTGGGGTTCGGGGTATTGGGAATTGGGGGATTGGGTGTCCGTTGGTTGTGTGTAGTAAAATATTCTACTTAATATGTATCTGTACGTAAGTAGAAGCTTGGTCAGCTCTCCTCCACTGTAGCCAGGCGGCTATTTGCGGGTCGTTCCTGTCACCTCTAGCCTCCAACTGTTGGTAGTATGCCTCGCGTATGATTCTGAAGGCGTCTACACTTCTGTACGGTAACTTAGTTATAGGATCGATGTAGCGGGCCGGTCGTCTGTGAACAAAATTGTGACATTTACATTGCGACAAGGATGAAATTTTTTTAAATAAATAAGATTAAAAAGAGATGATTTTTTTAAGGGGGAGTATCATCTAATAACTGCTCCCGCCTGGGCGAGGCGGGAGGGAGTGTCAAACTCGTAACTGACTAAAAACCACCCCGTCCCTTCTCCTGCGCTTCGAGCGGGAGCCCCGGTAAACCGTTAGGTTCTCCGCGACTCCGATAAAAAAAGAGATGGATAAGCGGAAGATTCATACCTATTTTCTAGTTTGAAATTGTTTATTTATAGTAATTCCATTTACTACTAATTACAATAACCATTATTTTCCTTTAAGTTTTGTTTAATGGATAGCATGGCAAATGACCATAAGGATCACTCGCAAGACCATAGGAGTTACAAGTGGGTGTAATGGTCGGTGTAACTTGAATCAATTATCAACTACTGATGATTAAAAGTTATAAGTAATATGTACTTACTTCGTAACAGCGCAAAGCAGTTGTCTTCGTTTCTTAACATTTTGTTTTGGGAAACACGACCTGAATGCCTTGTTCTTGATGTCATTTTCGAATGACAGCAGAGTGCGCTCGTAGTACTTCATATTTTCTGGTTCTCTTTTCTTCTGTGATTTTTCTTCTTTACTGCAAATTTATAAAAAAAAATAATAATTAAGATTTTCAAGAGTTAGTAATTAGATTTGGACATTAATAAACAACCTCGTTGTTTGAATATGACTGTTTGCTTGCTAATGACAAACTGGGAATCAAGACTTGAATTCTAAGCAAAAACTTATCGAGTTTTCAGTTTCTCTTTTCACAAAATCACAATCACAAAAACTTGGCGATCTGGTAATGGCAGAGTAGAATACATTCATTCATTCTTACTTCTAAAAATTTAGTCAATTATCACATTTTAGTTGACTGCACGTTGGCGCAGTAGTTGGGCAACTGACTGCCGCGCAACGTGTCGCGGATTCGATTTCCGCACGGAACAACTCTTTGTTTGATCCACAAAATGTTGTTCCGGGTCTGGGTGTCATGTGTATGTGAACTCGTATGTCTCTAACTCGCCGTGTAAACGCAACCACGATGCAGAAGACAATCCAAGTGTGGGAAATCGTTTAAAAAAAAACAAAAAACAACTGAAGAGATTATACTAAATCTTTTTATGTATCGGTGGCCTATAGTCCACCAGTGGAGTGTCAGTTACTGTTGTTAAAACTTACGGCACTTTCTCAATGTTGACTTCCTCGTCAGGTCCTATGAAGTCCACGTCCATCTTGGTTACAGGTTCCTCCGATTCAGCAGGCTGGTCCGGTTCTTCAGTCTTAACTTCTTGACCCTCTAATAAGCCTGGATTTAGTAATGTTGAAATATTATTTATGATATAGTGCAGTTTTAAGTAATAGGGTAGACGACTAATTTTTATTTTAATGTCCGTCTGGTAGATTATTTAAAAATATTAGACACGTATTTTTTATTTTCTCACGGAAACGAATAGTTTTGAAGATATATTGATTTGAAATGTCGCGTGACGTCACTTCTCAGTACATTTTATACTAAGAAATGACGTTTTACCCCCCACTCCTAAACTTTAACTCGTTTTATCTAAGTATTGTTTTATTATACGACAAAATACAACATCCCCATTGGGTAGTTGCCAGAGTAAAAAAATTAAAAATCTAATTAGTCCGTCAGTTAGATAATGAAAAAATATTAGGCACGTATTTTTTTATTATCTTGTATAAAGCTACAATACTTACATAAAATGGCATTAAGTTTAGGAGCGGGAGGTCTTTACGTCACAACGTGCTGTAAAATGTAGCACGCTGTGACGTCACACGATATTTCAAATTAATAATATTAATTCAATACTTTCGTATTAAGTATTGAATTTTGTGAGAAAAGAAAAAATACGTGTCTAATGTTTTAAAATAATTTACCAGACGGACATTAAAATAAAATTTCGGAAACTACCGTATTATTGGAATCTTTGCTCAGTTAGCATTAAAGAGTCCATATTACTTTGTTAAAATACTTATTATAAAATTGACTGTTCTGTTTAACCGACTTCTAAAAAAGAAGGAGGTTCCCAGATTCACCTGTGTATATGTATGTGTGCGACAATCCCGCGATTGGCTGATACGATTTTGATGTGGTTTTCAGAAAAGCGTATATTGTAACAACAATTAGAAGATTATACCTCTAGTATAATAATTATTAATTAATCAACTTCAAAATATGAGTAGGTTATAATAAACTTATATATTATTGTCTGAATGCTTACAAACAGGAAGAATATGGTTTCGATCACGTCAAGGTTCGTCAAACAGTTTACTTATTTCACAGTCGAAACAGTATAAATGACCCGGTTTCACATGTGCCACTTAAAACTCCCGCTATAACTTGGTATGAACGATCACGTAAAAAATCACGAATAATTATTTTTATTATTTGAAATAAGCGTGGGTCAGCCATGCTTCGGCACGAATGGGCCGGCTCGACCGGAGTGATACCACAGCCTCACAGAAAACCGACGTGAAACAACTTGCGTTGTGTTTCGTCGTGTGAGGTGAGGTTACAGGAGGCCTATTTACCCCCTCCCCCCTCCCTAGTCTCCCGAATCCTCTATAATCCTCAAATTCCCAATTCCCAAAAGGCCGGTAACGCACTTGTAACGCCTTGGTGTTTCGGGTGTCCATGGGCGACGTCGATTGCTTACCATCAGTCTGCTAGTTTACCGGCCGGTATTATGACCACTGTCTTGATGAAACAAAGTCGTTTTTATGTAACGTTTTTTAAGGTAGAATTTCGCTCACCATCTTCGTGTTTGATGATATCGCTTAAGTTCAGGTCTCCTAGTAGACTGGACTTATCTTCCGCTGGCGGTATTTCTTCTATCATGGGAACAGCAAATGAATGGTACCTAGAACATAAAAAAAACCAATATAATATGGTCTGGTCATCGAATCACGCGGGAACGGGAGGCTGCCGTGGTTTCCGCAGAGGCCTACAAAATGGGGTTATTCAAGAGGGGAGTGTATAGGTTTTTTAAGGGTCGGCAAGGCGCCTGTGATGCCCCAAGTGTTGCAAGCGTACATAGGCTACGGGTATAAATTTTTGCCACCGTCGTGGTATAAAAAAGGTTGGACCGATTTCGCTAATTCTTGTTGTCATCGGTGGTGTTTGATTTGTGGTATGAGGAAGATTTTTATGAAAGAACAGGTAGGACTAAAACCTCGTGCGATGCAAGGTGAGTCGTGAGTATTTAACATAACTGGCAAGCTTCTGTAAGCGCTTTCACCCGTGTTCTCCTCAGATGAAAAGTAGCCTATATGGTAATCAAGACCATAATCTATACTTGATTTCATGTCGCGGAGAACCTAACGGGTAACCGGGGCTCCGGCTCGACGTGTAGGAGAAGGAACGGGGTGGTTTTTAGTCAGTAAGAGTCTGACACTCCCTCCCGCCTCACCCAGGCGGGAGCAGTCATTCGATGATTTTCCCCCCTTAAAAAAAAAAAGAATTGATTTCCGATACCTTCAGTCATGTTACCGTGAAAACACTAATGACTGTTGATGAAGCGAAAGAGGTATGTAAGAGTCGTAGAAATTGGCGTTCCATAGTCTGCCTACCCCCATGGGAGTCAAGTGTGAGGTTATGTATGTATGTATGTATGTATGAGTAACAAAAATACACACAGCATACAAATCACGCATTTATAATATTAGTAAGATTTCCTTTTTTACCTTATCGTAGGTCCAGTGATAGTCTTCTTGGTGGGTCGTATCTTTTTCCTCTCCAACTCAATTTGTTCAAATTTCTCTGAAATAAAAGATAAAAACATGATAAAAGACATAAATATTCATAATACTAATCATTGGGGGACGCCAATGTTCAGCAGTGGACGTCCTGTGGCTGATATGATGATGATGATGAAGGACTGATTTTTCCAAAGCCAAATAAGTTTTATCAGAGGAATAATTTTGAACATTTAATGATTCCTTCATATTAATAAAAACTGTCAAATTAATTCTACAGATAAGAATTATCTGTTGATTGAAAAACCAGGTCAGAATTTAGTTGGACCTCAGCACAAAAAGACAGTTGTAGCATCTCCATCAGATGGATTTTATGGTCACATAAAAAATATCAAATCGAAAGTACCCATACAAGTAAGTCTCAGAAATTATTATGAAAGACAACATAGCTAAATCATATGTCATAGATTATTCAACATACATACATACATAACATCACGCCTTTTTATCCCCGAAGGGATAGGCAGAGGTGCACATTTCGGCACTTAATGCCACTGTACAATGTAACACCCACTTTTCACTATTTATGTTATAAGTCCCATGTAATAGGGGGTGAGCCTATTATCATATACTGGGCACAATTCTAGACTCCGTGCTACTACTGAAAATTTTTTAAAAACCCAGTAATACTTTGTCCGACCCGGGAATTGAACCCGAGACCCCTTGCCCGGCAGTCGCACTTGCGACCACTCGGCCAACGAGGCAGTCAAGATTGCAGCCAAGATTGAAATTTATTTAATAAATTGTTGATAACAAACTTACCCAAGCTCTTAAGATTCTCCTTTTCAGTGATCAAAGCTTCCTCGAGCAGTTCTTCCTGCGTGGGCATCCTGTCTTCAACCTTTTTGGGTTTCTTTTTCTTCAATGCGGATCTGATCTTAATTCTCTGTAGTGTTTCTGCTGATTTCACTGCTGTACTCTGCCTTATTGATTTGCGTTCTGAAAAAATTCATTACATATTTTTTTATCTACATAATATTGTAGCAATAAGATGAAGACAGGTCAAGACTATAGACAGCATGCAACTACACTGTAGAGATGAAAAATAACTGCACGGTTGGAGCGATGGCTGGGCAACTGGCTGTCACGCAATATGTCGCGTTCGATTCCCGCAGGGAACAACTCTGGTCTGGGTGTTGTGTGTATGTGTGTAAACGCACTGACGACACAGGAGAAAATCCTAGTGTGGGGCAAAGTTTTTTAAAAAGATAAAAAAACGCTAATGGGCAAAAATGAAAAATTGCCAGCAACCAGTTCTATTTACATATAACTATAATTAGGTACACTCAATATTTTTTCTGTCATTTGCAATCATATTTTTTTTATCATTTAATGATTAATTTGCAGATTTAAACCTCGAAGAATATCAATACAGAGTTAAAACTCAAACACAAAAGAAACACAGATACCTAGTCTATGCTTCTATAGATATTTCTAACTTACCTATGGAAGAATCACCGGCAAATGCGCGTTCAGCCCTTTCAGATCTGTCAGGCTTTTCAGGTTTTTCAGCTTTTTCTGGCTTCTCTGGTTTTGGTTTAGGTGCTTTCCTTTCGTTTGCTTTTTTCACTTTTTCTCCAAGAGAAGGACCTGCAACTGCACCACCTTTTTTCTTTCTGTTTGGATCCTGAAAAGTATATTAAATATATCACTTTTAAAAAAAAATTTTGCCCTACGTTATGAAACAATACTATTTCCTTCAGTGTCATCCTGGTTGCGTTTACAAATATACAAAGTTCACATACAGATGACACCTGGACCCAAAACAACAAATCACACAAAGAGTGCAGGAATCAAACCCGCTACATGTTGCATGGCAGCTGGTTGCCCAGCCACTGCACCAACATTGCAATCAAATGTTTGATCTTTGTCTGTAGGTTGAATTTTAGATCAGAAGGAATTAAGTTTGTATTTATCACTTAGTTGTTCCCTGAATAGTGGTATTAACTCGTTGAGTACCGTCATTATAGACACAATTAAAGAACAATAGGTTGGCGTCACCGGTATCCTTGCGGTGTTTGACAGTTTAACTGATCAATTCCCAAGCGGTCACCGATGACCGCTCTCTACTATTTCCATTATATACTTTATTTACAATGTTTAGAGGCTACTTTTGTATGAATAAATTTTAGGGATTGTCAGAATGAAATATCAACATATTAAAGAATAGCAGAGGGATATTCAACACAATTGAAATTAAACATCATTCATATTATAATACCTATTATACTCAGCTAAGTTTTTTTACAAAATGTCTGTTTTTTTTTGTAGAACTGGACAATATATTATAAACCTTACCTTATAAACTTTAGTGCCGCTTTTCCTTGTCCGTTTCTCATCAGCATCATCGTCCGACTTTGGTTCATCATTTTCATCAATACTAAAATCTGAGTCCACTTCATCATCTACTTCCTTCTCTTGTCTGTAAATAAACAAAACAATGCAATGTTCAAAAGTACCATAACTACCAAAAGTACCAATATGTTTAATTAGGTTTACTGGGATTTGTCATAAAAATTGAGTACTGATGTCTGCGTGTCTACATCAGACTATCACAGCATTAACTGTTAAGATACAAGGTATTATTATAAGAATTTACTTATAGATAATGTCCCTTACCGGTCAATAAAACTGAATATTTTTTATTTAAGTACAGTAACTAGGTATTTACAGTCAAATATGTTTATTTGACTGTAAATAGAAATGTGTTCATTTCTATTCACTAAACACAAAACTAGTGGTGTCACTTTGTTGTCGAATAATTTCGACAACAAAATAATAGTTTTAAAAGGTCACAATAAGTCAGGATTATGTTTAGACTATCTGTGTAATAGATTTAAACACTAAAAGGTGCACTTACTTGTAATCAACGTCTTCCTCAGTCTCTTGGAATCCACCGTAAGTTGTTGCATAAAATTCATCTTCTTCTTCTTCGTCAAGCACTTTTGCAAGCAAATTGCCCGCATTAGAACGACGTTCTCTTTTATCCATTCTAATTAACTAGTAGCTACTGTTTTATTTCAAGAAATTAGCGGTATATTTTGGAAAATGTATAATCTTTACAAACACAACACACACACGCCAAAGAGCATCCACAGAATAAACTAGAACGTCAAGTTGACGTTGATAGCCGTCACCGATATGATGGCCTTATTTTGTCTGTGCTCATTTCTATTCGAAATCGAATCAATGAATTAACAAAATGTTTTTTTCTGAATTTATTTACAGAAAAATGTTACATAATGGTTGTTAGTTAAAATTAAATAACCTTGTTTTTTTTTTCTCTTCTACATCAAGTGTCATTTCTTTCTATACACTTTCTCCGTCGGTTACGATTAGTGGCCCTGGGCGGAGCACTGAGCAGTGAGCACGCACTGAGCAGTGCTACGTTAACAAAGGATGCTTACCAGTAGGTACCTACCAGTTTATTTGTTCATTTCTTTTGCTACTTACCTTACCTTTCATGTATACCTTTCAGCCTTAAAAGAGCGAACGCAATTATACGATTACGAATAATAGGTACCTACCAAACCGAAAAGTGAACTTTCACGTCTTGTTACCACTCACCGACTTAGTTATTTCTATTTGAGTAAAGCCTAAAATATTAAGTTATTGAACTGAAGCCTAAACTACTAATTAATAAGTTTATATTTAATTGGAAGCCGTGCGGTAGCTGATTGTATTCCGGTATTTTCCCACGGATATCATCGACAAAAGACTGCATCACTACACATTTATTATTGACCGGGCAGTAGCGCTCTATTAAACAAAAATGTTTTGAATGCAATATATAACTAAGCATTGAGAATATTGCCAGCTCTTCTTAAGTAGAGAGGTCTCTATGGGCCTCTTTTTTTTATTTTTATTTCATAAGCCGGTAAACGAGCATACGGATCACCTGATGGTAAGCAATCGGCGTCGCCCATGGACACCTGGAACACCAGAGGCGTTACAAGTGCGTCACCAACTTTTTGGGGATTAGGAGTTTGAGGATTTTTGGGGATTCAGGGATTGGGGAGATTGGGGAAGGGAAGGTAATTGGGCCTCCGCCTCTTGTGCTATTCTAATATTATAGTGACAAGGCCTGCTATTTTTCTTTCACGTTTGATGGTAAGCAATCGGCGCTGCCCATGGATAGGTATTCTAACACATTGGATGCCGAGTCGGACAATGATGCCCGACGCTAGCGGAGGATTAGCCTTTAACAGTTTTATCGGCAGTTAAAGGCTTAAATAAACACTAAACGAGTTACTAGTGCTTTGCCAGCCTTTTGGCAGCGATTAACCTATGGCGTGCTGGAGCGCAACTCTATTCGGTGCTCTTTTCGACTCATTCATTTGCTGTTTATAAGTCAACGAATTATTAATTGGTATCTACGTACGCTTCTTAGCGATAGATGGCGCTGGGTATTTTAAAACTTGGTAACGTTGTATTTTTCCCGTTAATTTTGGTTCCTACCATTTAACATTTAGATTATAGGTTGTTAAAGGTACCTATTCGGTGCACTTTTCGACTCATTTATTTGTTGTTTGTAAGTCAACGAACCACTAATTGGTATCTGCTACTTAGCGATAGATGGCGCTCAGTTCATTAAATTTGGTAACATTGTGTTTTGTAAGTATTTTTCCTTTTTACATTTTGGTTTCTAACATTTAAACATTAAATTGTGTATTTTATAGACTAAAGGTTTTTAAACGTATCTGTTCGGTGCACTTTTCGACTTATTTATTTGTTGTTTTATAAGTCAACAAATTACTAATTGTTACCTATGTAGTAGTTACGCTTCTTAGCGATAGATGGCGCTGGGTGTTGTAAAAACTTGGTAACGTTGTATTTTTCCCTTAATTTTGGTTCCTACCATTTAACATTTAGATTATAGTTTGTTAAAGGTACTTATTCGGTGCACTTTTCGACTCATTCATTTGCTGGTTATAAGTCAACGAATTACTAATTGGCATCTATGTAGTAGTTATGCTTTTCAGCGATAGATGGCGCTGGGTGTTGTAAAAACTTGGTAACGTTGTATTTTTCCCTTAATTTTGGTTCCTACCATTTAACATTTAGATTATAGGTTGTTAAAGGTACCTATTCGGTGCACTTTTCGACTCATTTATTTGCTGGTTATAAGTCAACGAATTACTAATTGGCATCTATGTAGTAGTTACGCTTTTCAGCGACAGATGGCGCTAGGTGTTTTAGAAACTTGGTAACGTTGTATTTTTCCCTTTAATTTTGGTTCCTACCATTTAACATTTAGATTATAGGTTTTTAAAGGTACCTATTAGGTGGTGCAATATTCGACTCATTTATTTGTTGTTTGTAAGTCAACGAACTACTAATTGGTATCTGCTACTTAGCAATAGATGGCGCTCAGTTCATTAAATATGGTAACATTGTGTTTTTTAAGTATTTTTCGCTTTTACATTTTGGTTTCTAACATTTAACATTAAATTGTGTATTTTATAGACTATAGGTTTTTAAAGGTATCTGTTCGGTGCACTTTTCGACTCATTTATATGTTGTTTTATAAGTCAACAAATTACTAATCGGTATCTATGTAGTAGTTACGCTTCTTAGCGATAGATGGCGCTGGGTTTTTTTTTATAAATGTAGTAACATGTGTTTTTTTAGTATTTTCTGCTTTTAAATTTTGGTTTCTAACATTTAAAATTAAATTTTGTATTTTATAGACTATAGGTTTTTAAAGGTACCTATTCGGTGCACTTTTCGACTCATTTATTTGCTGTTTATAAGTCATCGTATTGCGAATATTGGAATCTATGTAGTAGTCACGCTACTTAGCGATAGATGGCGCTGTTTTCAAAACATGGTAATGTTGTTTTTTGAGTTTTAGAGTGAGAGAACCATTTTACAATAAATTGCATATTTTATAAATTTTAAGTTGTTAAAGGTAAGGTAAGGTTGCTGAAGTCTTTCAATTTGAAATGGGAGGATAGTATTTGTGGTAATGCGAAAATAACTCCTTCTGTATGTTGTTCTTTCACGCCTAAACGGCTGAACGGATTTTGAAGAAATTTGAGTCCTGGAAAAAATTGATGGATAGTCACATAGGCTACTTTTTATAGTTTTGTGGAGCGAGCGAAGCCGCAGGTAAAAGCTAGTAAAAATAATAAATAAAACGAACAAATATTTTGTGCCGTTTATTCAATTGTTAACAGTTATTATAATAAGATTTTACTTCAGTCATCTTTATTTGAATCAGATAAAACCACATTTCGTCAGTTTTCTTCTATATTTTTGTTTTCATACCGGTACATAAACATCAATTTCTGTAATTTATGATAATGTGTGCTTCAAGCCGTTTTGGTGGTCCAATTAACTTTCGAACACGAATCGGCTCAAATCAAACATTCAGTTTAAGAATTAAATTAGTAGGTAGATATTATATTTAACTATAGTTTAAGTTTTGTTCATTTCATGTGATTTTACATTTAAACTTCAATTACGATTAAACTACAGTTGGTATATAATAACTATTGATGTATTAAATGACATAAGTTTTAACATAAAACCACAGAAAATTAACCCTTTGGATACCTAGTGCTATAACTGATATAAGTACAGAAAAAGATGACTTTATTAACAAAATAACACATCCTAAACTAATAATCACAATCATGATAAAAATTAATAACATTTTAGTGACAATAATAATAATAATTTTATAATTACAATATTTTTTTTTAACATGAACAAAAATAAATGGAATGTATAGGTCAGGTGTTGCTTGTCGTGATGTATTTTAACATTAAAATTGATCATTGATAAATACATTAGTATTAATTACATATTATTATAATATTGTGAGATATCATCTCGAACACTCATTCAATCAAGAGCAGCACTAGCTACTAAATAGAGAAAAAAAAATCACTATTAAATTTTATTTAATAATTAATCGTAAAGCATTTTATTATTATCGTCATAGAAAATCAACAACATAATTATATGTTTTAAACAATAACTTGTTCTAGTAAATATAATTTAGTTTATTTGAGTACATATAGGACGTAAAATTAACTAGTTAAGTTGCATCAATACTTCCATTATTAAACATCAGTGTCCCGAATAGTAACAGATTTTATGGGTACTATAATTCATATTTATTCGTCACACAAATCTTTCAAAGAATGTGTACATTGAATTCTAATCCTATAACGATAAATATTTTAAATGAAACTCGTCTTATAATAATTAAATATGACTTTTGCTAACAAATCTCTATATTTCGCAGGCAATATCCGTAGAATTACATAATAAACTTCCTTTACTAAGTATAAGAAAAATCAATTTAAAACTTTTAAATATCTTCGTTAATAAAATTTAAAATTTTAATAGCAACGTAATTTCGTCTATAAATTGTATTATTGGTAAATAATTGTAACATTTAACTGGCAACATTAAACATTTTAACAAAACATAGACAATAGTGCTACTCGCCGTTTGCGTTTCTTCGCATTATCTCCTCTTTACCATAGATAATAACTATTTAAATTCAATATTGTATGATTAATTTATCTACGTTCATTTTACTATTGATTATCTTACATTAGGAGAAATAATAAAAACAAAAAAAAAAAACACGTACAAATAGCAACAAAATTGTAAAATGATGAAACGAACTTTTAAGTTCGAAATAAGTTAATAACAAACGAGTTAAGTATAAAAAATTAAATTCTACATTTTTTTTACATTTTAGTACAAAAACTCAATTAGTAAAAAAAGATTATGCTTATGAAGTGTCAAGTACACAGAGTTTGTCGATACTCTCCTGAATTTAGTTCCTTGCATATTTTTTAATTGTATTTTTGAGCATTTTCCATACTTGTCATTCCATAAACAAAACAAAGGTAAAAATTACCAAAAAAGAAAAACAATTCCACGATAATAATAATCAACCCTTACAACGAACCCTACTTAGCCTAATTATATTTTAAAAGTAAAATTAGTGAAACAGTGAGAGTTTATATAGTAAAATTTCACTACTCGTTCATTATAGTTATATACAGGAATGTATTAGTGCAGCCATGAAAAAAAATTAAACGAAGTATGCATTTTGACGTGGCGTTTACATAAGTCCTTTATAATTGCTCCAAATAGGACTTCTTAACATTCTTGCCACTACCAAACTTGTGAAGAATAGAGAAAATACTGGTGACAAGTTTAATGAAAATTATTCATAGATGGCGCCACAGACGTTTTTGAGCGTATCGTTACATAGACTGTGATATGAAACGTTATTTGTCAAAATTCTATCACATCATTCCTTCACGCATCGTTTGTCGTTTAGAGATAATTATTTTGAGTCGAATTGATACATATTCTTCTTTCTTAACTTTCCAATGCATTCACATTATAACATAGTGAGTTTTACCCCTTTCAATCAATTCATAAGTAATCTTTCTATGGCACCATTCAAAATCAAATTATACTTATCAATAAGAACAATCGCAAGAAACGCTTACAATAAAAGCAATAAGTACGAATACAAAACAGTTGTAAGTAGAAATTATTAATGAAAAAACAAAATCGACTATTAATTAATGATTCTTGCAACCCTGTGAATTCTAAATCCTGTGATATAGTCAATAGACCGGTTTCCAACTAACGAATACAGGGACACTGTGTCAGATAGTTCACGCGTCTTAATATGGCCGCTGTTAAAATCTAGAAACGTCTATGTCACTTAGCAAAAAAACTAATTTTGCATTCAGGCAACTAGTTGCTCTAAAGGTATCACTGCATGGGAATCGTACAGGGTCTATTTTGTACTTTTTATAGCACGTTTATAGAATCGCATTATATTTACAATTCTGTTAGAAAAGCGATGTGCTAGTTCTAAGTTTTTAGTCGATTTTTTTTACCATTCGTATAACGAGTTGCCATTTAGACGATTATTTTTAAACTATCACCCAGTGCAATAAAATACGATTTCTTTAGTTGGAAAACGACAAGATTTTACAATAGTTTACTAAAGGTAGAATAGATCTTAAGTTTAAATGTCGAAGTAAACATTTTGAGCTACGGTACATTTCTAAGGAATTAGTTTTTTGTTAATATAGATTATGTACTAATGTATATTTATGTACATGGTTCCAAAAATCGTGTAGTGTCATGTGCAGGTGATTGAATATCCTCGAAAATGTTCAAGTAGTATTATTTGGCACGTAATAGTAAAATTGAGCTAACATGCACCAAATTAACAATGCAAGCGCAATTTTAGACTTTGTGTTTCTCATAATAAAGTATTGTTTAGTTTAATTACAGTACTTAATTTAAACAATTATATTTTATCACAATAATTGAAATTAATACTTGATTTAAGTAAATAATATTAATTGAGGTCTTTTAATAAAATTGTAGATTATATTATCTCATTAAAGTAACAAGCGCTGAGTTGTCAACTCTTTTGTGACGTTTTAGCTTACCTTGTAAGTCTTTTTTATATATTGATCTAAATTACTCCACTTAGAATGGCAACCCAAGCGTACAATAATCTGGCCATACCAAAGATTTGCTCGATCATTGCCGCTAGATGCCTATTAGAGATAATTCAGATCTATTGAGCCATAATCTGTGTTACCACAGTAAATAATCGAGAATGTTATTTTGTCTTATAGTAAGATTTTGCTCTATTCAAAATAGGATAGCAACGTATTTATAAGTGTCGTATGCCTGTGGAGTGTGATGTGAAATTATAGTATTCATTATCCGATAGATTTAGTGAACATTATTAAGTGTTCTATAATAGTCTATAAGGCCGGAGCGGCCTTCGTGTCGTGTGTGATGTTTTGGTGTCAATTCAAAGTGGTCTTTGGTTCAAAATAATCATCAGAGTAAGATTAAGGAATATGGACTTTATTGTTAACGATTTCAGTGCATATAGAATCAAAATCGAATCTTATACTATAGAAATGTCATCAAAAATCTTTAGTGTGAATTGAATAAAATGCTAAACATTCTTAATAATAAATTGATCAGTAAAAGATTCCTTTAGGAAGCCCAAGAGTCAATCCGTAATAGAAACATATTAGTAAGAAAATGAGTCTGAAACTGATTAAAAGTCCAGTATTCCTTAGTTGATCTTACGGAGATTCGTCATCAGATTGTCAGTAGACCCATGAAACTGGGACCCATTGGGGCGTTGAGCGAAGTCGTACAAGGGCCGACTCCAGTTGAGATAGAGTGTCATCAATGTCATTATTGACGATTGTCAAGTCGAAGTAGTGACCGTAGGTGCGGCGGAGCTGTTCTGATTCACGGACTAACACTTCTAGGGAGCCGTCGTACTGGAAAAGAAAATGATAACCATAATTATTATTTTGTAATTATTATTATGTGTGTCTTTACCATTCACGGGACCACAGGGTCCCGATCATTTGGGAGGCGTACGAGGGGCCGAAGCCAACTGCGCAGAGGCCCTTTAGACAACTTTAATATAAATGTAATGGACACACAAACTGGCGACTATCCCTGTATGCACTATGGAATTGCACCAAAGGACAGTCCCCGGTTAGAGTAGAACTATTGTGGATAATGGAAACAAAAAGATACGGCTATGGATGGGTTGCTGTGGACTGGTACATTGGGTACTATGATTATTATTTTTTACATTGTGATATTTGAGCTATTGCTTTCTGATATCACTCAATCGTAGACTGTGCTAAAATTTCGATTTCCCAAAAATCTTGAAAATATTGACCCAGGGACCAAACTTTGTTTCTGAATGCAACTGTTTATACTTGATATTTTGACAATCATTTTTCAATAAACTCAAAATTTTGCGCACACGTGAAACTGAATGCGCAAAATTCGCTAAAATTTTACGCAACACATTCAAGGTTATACTTACATCAGCAACATTGTTGAGCGGAGGCGCAGCTATAAAGACGACGTAGGGCGCAAACTCTGCAGTGCGCAAAATCTTCAGAGCTTGCGGTTCCACGTCCAATATGGCGATGCGACGCTCAGAGTGTATGCGACGAATTGTCTCTAGCTTGGTGCCGTACATTGCGTCTTCGTGAGTACCTGAAGCAAAAAATGTGATTTGAATATATTGTCTTTTTTAGGGTTTTATTTGGGTTCCATTTCTTTAGTAATATACTACAAAAACTACTGAAGGGTTTTACAGTTTTGTTCCCTTAATATTGATAATATTGAGTCGAACCATATTATTTCATTGATATTCGATATACAACTTATAAATAGACTTAGAAATCTCTTCAAGAACTTTGCCAGACTGAAATAGAGAATTGCGCACGTATGAAACTGAATGCGCAATATGCGCAAAAATTTTGCGCAATGCATTTAAGGTTATTCAACCTATAAATACACTAAGAAATCTCTTCAAGAACTTTGCCAAACTGAAATAGAGAAACTGCTAAAACAGATACACATAATAAGTATTGTCCAATATACAAGTTATGGAGTATGGAAATGTGTGATTATTTACCATATTCCAAATATTCGTTAGCCGCAATATCAGCCATCATTTCTTCGTGGGTAACGAAGTAATAGTGTCGGCCGTTTTCTTCATCGGTTCTAGGTGGTCTTGTAGTGTCTGCAAAAGAAAAGTTTTATTATTCGCCGGTTTCCGTCCACTGCTGAAAATAGACCTCCCTAATAGCATGGTACTGACGGTCAACTTTAAACTCTTTGCATTTAGTCACTACTAACTTTGGGGGTATGGTGATCCCAATAAGACTTATTTAGGCAGCTACGAAAATATTATAGGACAGTGGTTGCTAAAGTTCTTTGGACTACGGCCTATCCAAATCAAGTTCCCAAACTCAGGACCCACTTACAGGAAATGAAACCGTTTCCAATATGAAAAATAAGGTGTACCTTAATTCTGTAGAATAGTGCGTCTACAGACATACAAGGCCCACTAAAAATTCACTTGCGACCCACCAATGGGTCGCGATTCGTAGTCTGGAAAACCCTGCTATAGGGGTATAATATTATTATATAGATTATTCAAGACACTCACGTGGTATAGGATAAGCATATTGGTCTGGGTGTCGCGCAATGAGAGTGTTCTTTATGTGTCGTCGACCAACGCCGTGGGCGCCCAGCAACACGATAGTCTTTCTTTGGAATGCTGTAAATTGAAGAATAAAGTGGATAGTTTAGTATTACAAATAATCGTCATGAAATACCCACATGTCCTGATGAGAATCAGAATATTCTAACAAATATGTTTTGTTTGTATACTGTAACAAAGTTTATTTAACGAATAAGATAATTCGTGAACATAGTGTAGAATTACATTCATCATTATCAAGGACCTGTTAAGCCGCATTTACATTTGTCTGACGTGACGAGTCGTGACGTTTTTTAATGTAGTTGATTGGCTACAACGAATGTCGTGGTGGCCCGGAGGTTTAAGACGCCCACTTCTCATGCATGAGGGTGCGGGTTCGAAACCTACCAACGGCAAGTACCAATGTGACTTTTTCCGAGTTATATGTACTTTCTAAGATTATTTAGATACCACTGACAAACGGTGAAGGAAAAACATCGTGAGGAAACCTGAACTTATAATTTCTAATTATAAGTTTGAAATCGACAACCCGCATTGAGCAAGCGTGGTGATTAATGCTCTAACCTTCTCCGTGTGAGAAGAGGTTTTGCTCAGCAGTGGGCATTTATAGGCTGTTGACGATGATTGGCTACAAAACTCATTATGATTGACGTAATTTTGAACGAAGTCATATGATTGGTGAATCCTGCGTCGCGACACATCACGTCATACAAATATAAATGCGGCTTTAACGTTTATAACTGGACATAAGCCTCGTCAATGGCACGTCACTGAAATCATGATAATCTTTTTTTTTATGGGGGGAAAATCATCGAATAACTGCTTCCGCCTGGGTGAGGCGGGAGGGAGTGTCAGACTCTTAATGACTAAAAACCACCCCGTTCCTTCTCCTGCACGTCGAGCCGGAGCCCCGGTTACCCGTTAGGTTCTCCGCGACGTCATAGATAACCTTAAAGTTCGATACTTACATGGCAACTTCACAACTTCTTCATAAGTCACAACGTCGAGTTGATCAAACACAGCATTGTGTTTCGCTAGATATTTGTCTTTCGACTGCTTTTTCTTACGTCCAAATATGGAACAGTTAACTGAAACAAAATTAAACGAAAACAAACATTAATTTATGTAATCGTCAAAATATTGGCGTTGCAACATAAAAAAAGTTTAAAGCCAATTTATTTTTTAAGTTATTTCTTTATAAACATGCTTCTGTGATTTCTTTTGTTATTGGTGCCATTTAAAACATTTTATTTTTATTTTTGTATACATGCATGATATTATAAAAAGACAAACAGCATCATGTGCGTTTTCTATAAGCATTTATCGTAATCAAAGACATTTCCAAAGCAAGTGTGATTGTTTCGTTAAACAATTTACAAATTTATGAACAAATATAATAATATTTAATTAACATTAGACTATTTAAATTTAAAATTACTTTCATAAGAACTATTTAACTTCCATCGCAGCTGTAAAACCTTCTAAAGCCCACCTTTTTGACAGCTGTCAAAAGTGACACATGTCAGTCACGTCAATTTTTAAAATTGTAGGCAACCTGATTTATGCAAAAACAAACAAATTGAAAAATATCTAAATCAAATCTAAAGCTAAAAACAACACTGAAGCTTAAGACAAAAAAACTAAATATGTACATCAATTTTTATTTATGAAACTTCAAAGCAAGTTGATATACAAATCTGAATTTCTGAATATCAATTTGCGTTCGAAGATATTTATATCGAAAAATTTTGTTAACACATGAAAATTTCAGAGTAGTTACCCAGTTAAAATCTCTTACAAAATGTTTAAGAAATTACATATTAGCTGCATACTAATCTTCGAATAGAAGTGTTATCAAAATCTTCCATATTTTTTGTATTGCTTTTTTTATGTAGGTAGGTACGGTTATTTCACTTTGTCTATTCCAATTAATAGCTTCATCATGCGACGTCAACAGTATGGTTGACAGAACTTGACGGACCATTGATGGTTTTATTTGAAAACATCTCAATAATATTAAATTATTTGTAGAAATCAATTATAATATATAATCAATGTTGACATGGATAAATAAAGTGCAATAACAATAACAACTACCACAAACAATAGGGTAGTTTGGCAAATGGCGGGTATGAAAATTAAAATTCGAATTATCCGTCAGTTAGAATATGAAAAAACATTAGACACGTATTTTTTTATTTTCTCGTATAAAGTTACAATACTTAGATAAAATGAGGTAAGTTGAGGAGTGGAAGGTCGTTATGTCACGACTTGCTACATTTTGTAGCACGTCGTGGCGTTATAAGATATTTCAAATTAATATATCGTCGAAAGTATTTAATTGCACGGTTAGCGCGGTGGCTGGGCAACTGGCTGCCGTGTAACGTGTAGCGGGTTCGATTAGATATACACGCACGGAACAACTCTGTGTGATCCACAAATTGTTGTGTATAAACTAGTATGTTTGTAAACTCACCCAGCACCCACGACACAGGTGAAAATCCTAGTGTGGGGCAACGTTTTAAAAAAAAAATAAAAAAAGAATTTTGTGAGAAAAGAAAAAGACGGGTTTAATGTTCGAACACAATCTACCAGACGGACATTGAAATAAAATTTGTTTTGCTACCCTATTATCTATAACGCCTATACTTACAATAAAAGCGAACTAATGCACTTCAATGCAATATTGCGGTCAGATAATAAGACTACATAGACTATAAATTGTACCTGTATTCTCACAACCGTCGGTATGGGACACGCACCCCTCGGCTCCTAGCCGCACAACATTACAACACGGTTCATGCAAACGGAATGGATGGTAACGGATCTACACGATTCGGGTTACACGCAGTGGGAATGTTTTGTCAAAAGCTTTTGTTTATTTTGAACCTTATGGGTAAGTTTTAGAGACTCTTTTCTATTACACTATATTCTTTTCATCAATAAGATATGGGTCATGGACCTAGTCGATTGCATAATGTATCTTTTTTATAAAATGGACCTATTTTATTATATGAACCCTTTTTCAATATGATGGGGTCGGTACTGAGTCTTGGGCCTATTCGATTAAATATAAGTCTGTCTTTATGTAGTTTGGATCTTGCACGGTAAGTTTTAAAGACGCCTTTCGTTTAAAATTTGCTCTCGCAATGACTTAGTTGATGTCCATTTTGATATTTTTTCCGTAGTAAGATGAAGTAAAATATATCGCTAAAGGGGTATTGTCAATTTCCTTCAACATAAACTGTTAAACTTATTACATCATCATCATATCAGAAATAAGACGTCTACTGCTGAACATAGGCCTCCCCCAATGACTTCCAGATAGGCCGGTTGGAGACGACCTGCATGCGACCAGCGGCACCATGCAACCTTAATCAGGTCACCTGTCCACCTTAAGGGTGGACAGACGAAACTTGTTCAACTTAACATCATTATAACTGTACTAGTGTTTTATTATCCAGTCAAATAAAAAAGTACTCATTTATCTCTCATTACAGACTTGTCTTATCACAATTAAACTTCAAGTTCTTAATCAGTTACTACGTAAGTTTGGTCGTATCGTAACCGTTACACTAATTGCGAAAATGGAAGGCACTGGAGAGCGTTCTAGTTAGGAATTTGGTTCTTGATCTTAGTTGAGACTATTTCATCATAAACAAGTTCATTGTGGATGATCTCGTAGTTTTATAAAAGGAACTATTAAATGCACAATTTTTTTCCACCATTAATCATCAAATTCATTTTTGGTCAAATATGGCACTGTCCGATCAAATTATTGATAAAAGTGTTGTGCATAAAGAATCCGAAAGAGCTTTTGACAAAACATTTCCAAATAATGACAATACGGTAACAGGGTTACACAAACTCCCTTGATAAATATACATTATACAATAAGTAGATATTTTATTAGTTTTCATTGTTCTACAAAGACCATTGCTACGACAGATTGGAATGGACGTAACAATAGATCGTGATTTGCAAAGGCCTTAGTACGAGTTATTTTTTTCAAAGTAATCGAAATTAGTACGCGTGCGGCTCTCTGATTGGCCGTCTCCAATGAACCAACCAACCAGAACGTTGAACGCGGTTTCATTACGATTACTATAAATATAAAACGAATTCGTACTTTTGGAACAAGGGATACAAGATTAGCAATGGTTCTACTTCAGTAGGATCCTGGCTCTGTACCATGCACAACTTGGTTTAGGTACATGTCCCTTAGCTTATTACAGTACACGGGAGCTTGTATCACTCATAAACAAAACACAGGAAGAAAAAGCAATTTTACATACCGACTGCTTCGTCCAATGATGAAATCGAAAGCATAACACGAAATTAATGTAAGTTAAGGTAGATAATGTCATTAATATAAAGCTACTTATCACTTTGGAATAAGGTACAAATCAGACTGTTCACATTTAACATAAAGAGGAAGAGAGACAGATGTTAGATGAACGAACATTGTTTAACGGTTACTGTAATTCCGTGTCTTCAATACATCTGCCAATTCGGTTGAATATGCAATCGTTCAAAGTAAATTTTGGGTCATAATATACCAGTAACCATTTTCAACCAAGAATCTATTAGAAAATCACATTGATACGACATTTATATAGATGAGACATTCAATGAAACTAAGACAAACATAGCAAATTACCGGAATGACGATCACCTTGACAAAGTACTAAAGTTGACGGTAAAATAAATACTGCTATACACAACGTTGCATAAACTAAACACAACGACACACTGATTTTCATGGATCATGAAATACTTTTAGATACTGATCATCCAAATAAAAATAAAGAAAAAACGGTAAATGAAACACGTCTAACATTTAAAGCACCTAATACTTTTCAAGAGCTTTGTGTTCCTTATGCCTGAGAAACAGATATTTTTTAATCTTTTTTTTGTATCTATTGTACCTGCATTACCTTGATCGGTGTTAGATCTTTCTGCGGCAGCGCATGCTGCTCTCCATTCCTGGAGTTCAGGGCTAGGAATGAGACCAGCTGAACCGCCAGAGGCGTCCTTGCGAGCTTGCCACCAATGAGAATCATCTTTGCTGATGATCTGGAAACCCGATGAAATTGCATTAAAAAATTGTCGATTCATTTTCATTTGATTAAAAGATTTCTAAATTATTTTTGTAAAGTCGAATTGTTTTTATTTGGTTCTAAAACATACCTGCAGAATATCACCAGTATTGAAAGCGATGCCGGCCTGAGCGCACGGAATCAATTCATCTTCTAATGGATCGTAATCAAATTGCGCTCTCACGAAAATCTGGAAAGTTAAAAATAAATAAGCAACTTTCTTATTTGTTCGGGAAACAGAATGACAATAAAAATGATTGATTTTGATAAACGGGGCTAAATAGGCAAAAATGGGAGTTTGTGAGCATGAAACATTGGTTGGTAATGATTTAATAAGAATGCCAATTTAGTAGCAGGTAAGTTAGTAAGTTTAGAAACGGAATGCAAACAAAACGAACAGAATGAAAGACATGGAGGGTGAGAGGGTGATGTGAGGTGCGATGAGAGTGGAGCTATGACAAAAGAACAACAAGCGCACAGAAACGGAGGAGATCGCGGGGACGCGCAGCCATGCCCAGGTGACAATACATAAACAAAACATAACACAACATAAAACGACCAACATAAACAATAAACATATCACAAAGTAGCAACGGGTCTGGTCTCGCTACTTACTAGCACGGGCGAAGGCTTTATCCGGAAAAGCTAGTTAGAACAAAAATACAGAATTTTAATGTCTTCTATTTTAATACCAATTGTTTTATGCTCCAAGACAAGCATTGTTTGTGAAGAATTTGTGTGCGCTTGTCGACTTTTCGCTATATTTTTAAGTGTAAAAACAAGCGTTAGAATCACACTACTATCTATTGTGTTAATTTCAAACAATATTTATGTATATTTTTATTGACTTTTAGTTCAAACTAGTGTTAAATACAAACTGAGCTACGTCTACTGTTTTTTAATCACACTGACAAAACTCCAGGGTTTGCTAAAGGCTGTCCTCAAATCCTTGTAAGCATTGTGTATAAGATAATATAAAGTTGAGTTACCTCGCATGGTGGCGGCGCTGAACGATATGAGGGCACGATCTTAAATGTCACCGATCCACGAGCTTCTCGCTGTAACGTTTATTTGTTTCCAATAAATTGAAAGTAAAGAATACATTGTTGATCTCGAAGATATGATAGTTTCTGAAGTATGCACTTACCTCTGTTTTACATAAATGATGATAACATTTTTAATATTAAATAAAATTTTGAATACATGAACATAAGTTAATTATTACGAAAAGATTTTTGTTCTGTCGTGGAAGCTGACATTAGCCCAATTACTATTCAACGTTTTTGTAAAATTTGCGACCAGAGAAGAATCTTAAAACCTTAATCAGAATTCAAACACTTTTAGCACAAAATTTTGTCACGTACCAGCATTCTCTGTAGTTGGGCAACGGACTGGTTGGCGACGGGCGTACCGTTGATCTCTTTGATCTCATCGCCGACATGTAACGTCGCCTGTCTGTGTATCATCCCTCCGTGCATGATGCGGGCTACGATGCATCGTCCATCGTCAGCTAATTTTAGTGTGATGCCCTATAAACAGGATTAAATAACATAGTTTAAAATCTTGAATTCTACAAACTATATGACCAAGTAAATAATCATTTTAAACATGACTCCTGTACTGTCGTTGGGAATATTTTTGGAAAAAACTTTCGATATTTCAAAAATATTTCAATACTTACTCGAAGTAGCTCGCGTGGGCGAATATTAAATCCGAATTAAATAGGTTAAGTAGGTATTTATTATTGCAGAAAATTTATTACTGTCCTTCATTAACTTTAACTTAATATCTCCCATTTTTCGCAACCTGGACTGGATTTTAAACGCTAAAGGTCGGATTTCAACATTAAAAGGCAGAATACACGGTGACAATTCAAACACCAATGATCACAGAAATGTCTCAGTACCAGAGTAACATAGCAATACAGAAATAGACAGATCATGTAAGTACGGATCATAGAATAGGCAATGATCAGTGATCTGCAAGGATTAAGTTCACGCACCTGTGTCTACAGAGCGCCGAGTCGACATCCACTGTTTGCAAACCACGGTTTCAGTACCCGCTTTGAAATGAGAGTCAATATTTATTTTTACGAAACCTTTGGTCTCATTTCGTGTTTTTGTTTTAGATTTAGGATTTTCCCTTGTGAGTTTAAATGTTTCGGCTTTGTTTTAGTTCGTCTGTTTCTGTGGTATTGTCATTTTTAATTTGAAGAGTATGCTAATGTGTTCTAGATTTGTTTAATGGAAACGTCTACGATAATCCACCCCCACTTTAGTTAATACCAGCAGGTTCATCCATAAAAGCAAACGTTAGGCAGGCATCTTTAAATACTGATGTAACGTAGTATTACAACTTTTGTACTCATAGTTTCGATACAAAATAAAGAATAGACTTTCCAACTTTACTTTTGTATAACTTGGTAAGATTTTTAGCCGATTCTCAGTTATTGTTTAGTGGCAGGATGCCTTTTGATTTTTTATATCTCTCAAAGAAATGTAATCTTTTAGCTGAATGAAGACATTAAAACAACTCTTACCATAGGTTCGTCGGTGTTTTTCTGGAACTGCACGAGGCGCACCCTGGTCACGTTCTCGAACTCAGGTTCTGTGTCGTCCTCATCTTCGGGTGGTGGTGCAGTGGTACGGCCATTGACTGGCGGTGGTGACGCCCGCAGAGACTCCTCGCCGTACACTTCTCGGGCCACCACATCATGCGCCTGGAGTAGGGCCTGTAAACAAAAATTTTAAATTGTTTTCAGATCAAAACTTAGGGAGGGTTTAATCCAATCAAACGCGTCAATCATTCCCGACGAAAGCAAGCTCTTATAAGACCATAATGTCCTAAAGGATATAAAAAGGTAATGCGCCAGATCATAAAGTCAATAATAAACGTAATTTTATTAATCGTCGCTAAAAGTCGCACACGAATTGAATAAATTAAATGAACAAAATATATGTCAACTAGTATCAATATAATTCCACTTTTAACATTTTAATACCAGCACACAAATTCGATTGACTAGGCAGCGACATTTGCATGCTGAATGTAAAATTTAAAATATTTTCTGCTTTCACACATGGCTTCACTGGGATCCTCTTTCATTTTACGTCCGACCGCTTTTGGCATACGTCCGTGATCGGCGACTAGTTTATCCTCAACAACCGATGTCGATATTGCGCCAGTCTCGTAATCCACCAAATGTACTGGCACGGTCACCGCAACAAATTCTACTCAGACTTCCAATCGGGAACTAAAGCTAAAAGCCCCTCAATTCGTATTAATTGCTCAACGAAGCGTAAATTTTAGAAAAACCTAACGCATTGCCAACCAATTTGGAATTTAGAGCGTTATATAAAAACGCTGTTATTTCTCGGAAAGGGACTTTTAAGTACCATTTTTGTATTTCTTGTTAGGTTTTTAATTAAAACTTGTTTAGTCTACGTATGCTTCAGCAAGTGTTTAGTCAAGCATAGTTGTATTCTGGAAGTTACGATAGCGTCTTTGGTATTACTCGTTTCATTAAGATATAGTTTGGTACGTACAGTACTTGGAACGCTTTTAGCTTCAAAAGCCATGAGATATTTCAGAACAAATTGAGTTTAATAGCGAATTATCCTTTGAATGGTATCCAGTAATATACGAAGCGCATTGGCTTGACTCAGGTTTCATAATCGATGATTTTAGAGAATCACGGCCATGTGTTGTACCTGGTACTTGTACGTAAGACTAACTTATGCGTTGCGATTGAACGAACCTTAATTAGTTTTTCAAATAATAACGCCTTTATGATCAAAGTTCAAAAGTCCCGTTCCTAATTTCAACGCAAAATCTGGAAACAATAAATTACAAAGGTGGAAGTTTCATCCGCCTATAAATTATATTTTTGGACGACTAGCAGATTTTACTAAACTTAATCGTGATTTTAGCCAACCTTTGGATATTCCAGGCCTTTTCTAGAAATAAAGTCTTTATAGTATTCGTTCTTAGAATATTTGAACAAATGTAATGGACAGCTACATACACACGTACAGATGTTAATGCACGTTTAAGTTCTTGTCAAGACCTACAAAAGTTAGTTCCAACAAAATTTGTTTCCTTGAATGTCTGAATAATTAAAACGAAATTGCAAATACAACTGTAAAACAGTGAAGCGAAGTCGCTTTATTCACTGCTACACTAATTCCTATCACAAAAACAGCAGTGCCCATTCGTATGGTAATGCAGAAACTGTGCACTGCCACTATTGTTGTAGGCGAGCTGTTCTGGAAATTCTGTTTATTTGGATAAAACATAGATAATACTCAGCTACGTGCTAATGTGCTCCCGCAAATCTCCTTAATCCAGGCTTATATGAATATAATGTGATGAATTTCATTTATTTAGTAGCAGTTAGTAAAAGTGACGATACGTGCGAAGATGATAAGAAAATTTACGTGGAGGTTTATGACAGGGTACGAAATGAGGAAAATTACAGAGTTAGATTAAAGCACACTTTGAATAAGCGAGATAAATCGCGAATTAAGCGGGCCAACCATTTAGAAGCAAAGTGACACATAGGAAAAGATTTTACAAAATAAATATTGAAGCGTCAAGGAAAACCTTTGAGAATTTTCTAACGTAATAAAATGAAAAAAATCAAAGGGAATGAATAAAGTGGATTTAAGAATGAAAGTAGATATGCAATATAATAAATTTAAACCCAATTTCAGACCTACTTTCCTTATAATGGAAAATACTGTAGAATCTGATAACAGTATCATAAATTGCGAGTCAGATAAAGAACATGTAATTAAAAGCATGGAAAATGAACGTGATGACGTCATTGTATAATAAGAGGGAACAAATAATTCGATTATATCGAACAATACGCGGTAATAACGAGGGTCCGAACTAAGTTATATCGGAATCAGTTTGCTTTGACAACAAACGTATTGTCAATGAAATTGTTTCAAATTATAGAAATCGTATTAATTCTATTTATAGTAATGATATTTGCGAGAGTTTAAGAAAATAGTATATGTGTTATTGGAAAAACGGGAGACACAGACAATATTTCCAGTTGTGTATATTTTTGTGAGCACGACCGCATTTAATCTAGAAATTAAATCCAAGACATAATGCTTTACTACTACATGGATACTTAAAGTAAATAAATACATAAAATAGCGAGTCTAGGATCATAAAGCTCTTCAGCATAATGCAATAGGTGTAGTTAAGTTATTCTCATAAATACTAACAGTTAACCTAATGGCTTTCACGATGCCAGCTCATGATATAAATTAATCTACTGCAGTATGTTATGCAGTATTACTATTACTAAGCCCAGTGTGCTACGGATGTTCGCTTCAAGCATTTCCAATTTGCCGACAATCGCACCATATGGGGATTCGTCTATTTCATCTAACAAGATAGTAATGGTCTAAAATGTACAAGCAAGACCAATGAATTATATTAAAACTAGCGACCCGCCCCGGCTTCGCACGGGTGCAATATGAATGTATTATACATACCAACCTTCCTTAAGAATCACTCTATCCATTAAAAAAAACCGCATCAAAATCCGTTGCGTAGTTTTAAAGATCTAAGCATACATACGGACATACAGCGAAAGCGACTTTGTTTTATACTATGTATTGATTCAAAATAATTAAATATTAGTATGACTTAACCAACGAGCACATTGATGCACTTCTACAGACTATTGGATTGCACAAATAATTCCAAGATCTGAATTTTATACTTAACGAGCATTATTTCTAATCCGAACACCATTAACCCAATCTGTAGTTTAAACTTATATAATAGTTTAGAACATCTAAGTTCGAATCTGCACTTTCAACATACCATTAGAGAGTATTGAATGGCATGCATACAAATCAGATAGCAGACAGAGTTTTGTATTGTGTTCATGTGACCTGCCCGACTGCACATCGGTGTACTACACTATTCCTATTTTGCGATGCGATGACCCAATATTTTTATTCGAAACTTGAGATTAATGCCATGCTCCACTGAACCCAGTCGGGAGCCAATATCGAGTTTCCAATACAAATGACGATGTGATGGCACTTAAAACGTACTTCTCCTGATCGGAGCAAAGAAAAAACGTATGAAACTCTTTCATGATACAATATTCGATAACTTCTTGTGTAGTATGGATATAAATATTAGATTTCTAGACATTTTTGGGATATTTATAGACGAATGAAAAGCATGAGCACAGTAGGTATACATATTTTATGAGAAAAGCGGTTCATTGAACCGAAAACAGTTAAAGGGCTGCAAATCTTACACATAAGTGATAATAAACCTATAATTTATGCTTACCTATACAGTCAACCAGGTATATATATGATTATTCAACTAAACAAAAAATCACATTAAACCTCTTATATCAAAATGCCTAGTGGCGATATAGCCAACTGTGGTATCAAACCCACAATCCACAAACGTGTTTATCAGCACCAAATCAAATGATACAGTCATTGCAAAACAAGTTCAAGTATCAATCACACTAAATCTCATTGGAGCTACCAGCTCTCCAAAATTGCTACCGTGATCCATGTCAATTGATCGACAATCTGGCTTTAATTCAATCAGTTTCAGGTCCTCTGTTAAACGTTTGACAGTACTCGACGTGTATGTTAATTTGAGCGTGACATTCATGCATCTCTGGATGCAGTAATGCAGGTATTAACTAGTTCGCAAAATCAGGGCTTTAGATAGAAATGTAACTTGGAGTCAAAGAGCTAAATGGTATTACCAAATATTACCAATACGTCTTCTCAGTATTACTAATTACTATTGACATTAGATCGTCCCTTTTATCTAGTAATAGGAACTGTCGTTGCTGATATTAAAGTTTACGTATAAGAAATATCTTAAACTTATTATCACTAGTACCGACTATTGTCGGAGAAAAGCATTCATTCATTAGTACATGTAATTAAACTAATAAAACTGCTAAAAATGATAAAGTCAAAGCATTTATTTCAATTAAATCATAGTTTGGTACTTTTGAAACGTCAACATACTGTCCTTATTATCTGTCCGTTAAGTTGTTTTATATTTAAACTAACCCGAGAATTTTACTCTTTTTGATATGAAGATATCGATTTACGAGTTATATTCAACTTCATTTTAACTTACTTTAGTTACGCAAGAAATCATTAATGTCACATTATACGTCTAAAAATTTAAAACATTTTTATGTAATCTAATATCTTTCGCTTGCAGTTTGAAATTTCTTTTTAATTTCATCTCCCTGAGTGACTTGATTTTCAAAAAGTCTAGAATGTAAGACCTTTAGAGAAAAAGAGTTTGCAGAATTTAATTAACGTTTGCTTTTGACATACAAAATAGGAAGGACTTTTAAAAAAACTAGTATTACCGGGTAATAAGATGATATAAAACTTGGTATATTTTTTTTCTTAAGAAAAACGTTAGAGCCTGTACTAAGGCCTTAACGATTCAGGAGAAAGAAGCACTGGTTAATTTGATTGGTTTGTTGGAACTGGCAGACACGTTATTGGGTAGTTCAATTTCTAAGTTCCCAATAATGCCATACAGTTCACTGGGCAATCACTTTTAAATGGATCCTTTAAGATTTTAGTAATACATTTCAAATATAGGTCATCCATTAAAAGTGAATTCTCGCAATTGTTTTTTGGACTGATGAACAACAAAAGGGTAGTTGCCAAGGAATGAAAATTTAAAATCTAATTAGTC